CATTTTAAAAAAAAACAAATATGATGACGAAGAGAAAGAGATTTCCCTGTGTACAATGAGTCGTTTTCACTGTAGGCAACACTGTGGAAGTCGGCACAGAAAAGCTTTCAGGGATGCAGCTGCTGTAGAAAAAAGAACTAAGTGTTATGACAAATTGAATCTTCTGTTGTACATTTGAGTTCAAGTAATTTGTGCTCAGTTGCTTAAAGTGAGCGCAGACACTGAAACAACGTGATTTGTCATAAATCAGGGCAGATACTAAAACAGCAGTGTTTTAGCAAGCATCTAAAGCAGCACTAAGCAGTTAAAATATAGTGAGTGGAGAGTAAGCATAGGGTGGCATTGAAAAGAAGTTACTGGATATTTGGAAAAAGTTTGAAATTATGCAACCTTTATAAAAGGTAAGCTTGAAATGTGTGGACTTTTACTGATGAACTAACAGTCTGGCTGAACTCCATTTAAACTTGATGTGCATAAAAGCAAACAATCAGACAAGGCACACTGAGCAAACTAATTTGCCTCCAAGTATGGCATTGGATAAGCAGTAACGGTCCACCTAGTGTCCTTGAGTGACCACAATTTACTGCACGACTGACAGCTAACAGTGGCAGTCTGCAGTGTCATGAGAAAAACAAGAAAACACAAAGACAGACTGCAACAAAATGAGAAACAGAAGAAAAATAAAGGCAAGAGGAAAGCAAACAAGGAAGCAAGAAAGAAATGAGATGAGGATACATGAACGGTCCCATCGTAAGGAACCCTATCGCAGGAAAAATATAAATAAAACACAATCATTGACCAGCTCTGCCACACTTAACAAGGAGCTCGGAGAGACGAAGGAGGAGGAATAAGTGGAGGGAGCCGCAGGGTTGCCGCGGCAACTGAAATTAGAACCTGGGATAACAAGAGAAATGAAAATGTGTGGGACGACCCAGGTGAGACACACAGCGAGGGGAATTAGAGAGAGGATTCAAGAAAGGACTCACGGAGAAAAAAAACAGCATGGCCTTTATTCCTGTGAGCGGCGCTTATACAACAGCGTGATAAATACGTACGTCAAATCTTAAAAGGAGATGACAGCAGCCCATTCAATGTAATACATGAAGAAGCCATAAATGTGCTCTCCTGCGGTGGGACATCATCTAAATAAAAAACACACACTTGCATACTGCAGCAGGATTACTGGAGCCGTGTGAAAATTGCAGCCAAGATTAGATAATTATAGATACAGTGTTTGAAATAATTCAACTTCCACTTCTAGTTATTAATTAAGTCAATTTTATTTGTATAGCCCTCAATCACAGCGAGTCTCAAAGGGTTTCTAAACGCCTACACTATAAAAATAAATGAAATCGACGCCTTCCAACCTCAGACCCTCACTGAAAATGAGAAAAAACTCCCACAGAAGCGTCACTAAGAAAAAATAAAAGAAACCTTTGACATAGCTACTTATCAGTAAACAACAGACAATGATTTTTACAACACTGTGATAAATTTGAAAGCACCCATCTCACCACAGCTGACAGAAATGAATTTAGCTGTGAGCACTCATCAAGCACCTTTCTCGAACTGCTTGGAGGTTGCCAAGAGAGAGATAATGCCAACTGGAGGCTGGCAGTTTGTAAGGTCTGAGTATTAAGACCTAAAATGTCAATATTGGTCCCAAGGGAAGGAATAATTAAGGCGTAAAGATCTAAAAGGCTTGTCACATATGGCTGGCCAGCTGTCACATCTGTCTGTTCATATTCATGCCGGTAACAACTGGGCCTATACTAAAGCAGCGGCAGCAGTTTACGTAATGGCTGAGCATTAAATGTCAGCTGACTGAGCTACAACTAAAGGCTCGCACACCAAATGAGGAGAAGCCTGGCATTTAAAACAATACACAAGCTCCACTTCTCATTTTAGTCGCTAAGTCCCGAGTGGGTTGTCTCAAAAAGATCGACTCCCTGTGGTTCTACTTCACACGTCCCCAGTTAAGGAAGGCAGCGTTACAGAACCAACACAGGAGCACAGTCTCTAAGAGGAAAGAATTCGTCTCGCGAAATTCCTGCAGGATGTCAGAGAGAAAAGTTTCCCCTTTTAATTGCAACAAGGTCACAATCTGTTAACAACTGGAGGACCTTTAGGTGCTAATTGTCAGCAAAGGTCTGCCCTGCTGATGTGTCTGTGAGCAAGGCACTGAGCCACTGCCATGCTTCAGGAGAACTGTGAAATTGTCCTCATGAGAAGAATTACAGCGCTGCTTGTTTGTTCCACAGTATCACTTTTCTGGCCTTTGCAAACCTTACTCAGCTTGTTTTGGTCCAAATCAGAGGACAAGTAGTTGCTTTGTTGCATTCATGCATTGGCTGGATAACCATACGCAATTTTCAACTCAGCCGTAATCTATCAACAAAAGCCATGCGGCAGGCAAATTAGTCCAAACAAATCCAATTGCAGTCCGTGTCGCTTTAGCTCACAGCTTTGTGGACTTGTAGTCTTGCCTCTTTGTTTGCACTGAGCTTTAACACTTCTTGTCTGCTCTTTTGCAGAGTTTAGAAATGTATTGAAAAAGCATTTCACTGCATCTTGAGTGCAAGTTTGCCCTTGGCTCATTTTGTTTTGCTGGGCTTTTCAAGCATGAGTAAGGATAGGCTATCAGGTGACAACATTCGTCTCCTTATGGTCATAAAACTACATTTCAGGGTCACTTCTTGTAGGTGCAGGTCTAACTTCTAACAAACTGCCCTGCAGTTCATTGGAGGTCCACAAGTTTAGATGTCTCTGTGCGGTTATTATTTGAGTTTATTTAGGCAGCCTCTCACCTGCCTGAATAAAAGAAAGTACAAGCTCAAGGGTTCAGATACACTCCTTCAGAACTGACTGGTGCAAATACACCCTGGCTAAGACCACAACTGGGATGGAGTAAGGCGGGTTTGGGTGGGTGTATGCTGAGCGTCTCCTTCTGGGATCCCTGCTGTGTTTAAATGCAAAAGAGGACGATGTGTGAGGCAGGCAGCTGGCAGTAGTGACTGACAGGTCAGGTGAGCGCCGTGGTCTGCTCAGGCGTGCAGATCCAGCTCCTCTGACTGATCTGAAGTGGCTTCAATTAACTGAAGCAGCCAAGTGTAAGGGAGGGGACTGGGGGGGGGGGGGGGGCAAGCCTCCGGGGGGGGGGGGGGGGGGGGGGGGGGGGGGGGGGGGGGGGGGGGGGGGGGGGGGGGGGTAAGACGAGTGGGGGGGCTCTGACAGGTCCTCTAATGCCCCACCAACTCCAACCTTTCTCCATCTCCTCTTAGCTAATTACTAAGTATCCATATAGAGACACTTGTCACTGTGATCACAGCAAATTGGCTGTAACTGCAAGGTCAGCAAGGACTGTCTTTCACTTGCGTCCACAGGCATCCACACACACATCTAGTCCAAACACACACAACAGTTTCTATGATTTTCAGTTTCCAGAGAGAACAGAAATTAAGTCACAACCAGGAAAACCAATACCACAGGCACTGCCTCACGTACATGTGCAAAACCATATTCATGTTGAATCTGCAGGATGCTCTGTATGTATGATAATATAGAAAGGAGGTGATTAAAATATCCCAGCATTTCTCAACAAATCCCACACACAGATTTAATTTTCATGGATATACCCGACAACGCTGATGTTAGAAGACACTGCCAAGTGAAATGCTAGTTTCACTTTGAATATATAAAGGTAAATCACACTCTGAACGTGGGAACGTGGAGAATAGATTTGAACTGTGTCCTGGAATTTCTCATGTCTTTACATTTGCCTTTAAAACCAAAAAAAAGATTCACTTTGTTACATGTTTGGTGAAACAATGAAACTGCAGGCAAACCTATACATGCCAGCAGGCCAGTGTGTCACATCAATAATGCACAATAATCTAATATTTTCTACTCTCAGCACACACAAAAAATGTGTGTCTTATGGCCTCTAACTGAAAAGAGTGTGCTTTTTTACTCTGTCTTTTCATCTAGCTTTTGCTCCTGCTTTCTTGCTGTCTTGCTGTTCTTGCTAGTTTTACATTACCTAATTAACATGGAAAAGTTTTTTGGGGGGAGGCATGAAACACACAGGCCCACATAATTTCCCCTGAAGGATTTATTTTATTGTTCCTTTTTTTTTGCCCTCTCATGATAGCACATCCTCCATGCCTCCGCCCTCATTTCCCCTTCTAAAAACCTGCTCTCCTTCCTTTTTTTCTTACTTCTAAGTCTTTCATTAGAACTAGGTGCAATTTTCACTTTAAAATGACGGCTGAATGCTACCTGAAACTTCTTACCCAGCTGCCATTTATATGATCAAGTGTCTGCTGCATCCTCTGTTCTCTCTCTACTTGGTATTCCTCTACTGGTAGGCTTTAGATCTTCTGTCACCTTCATTCTTTTTGAAGGTTTGTGTTTTTCTATTCAAACCATCTACCTCATTTCTCATTCTGGACCATCAATTTCCTTTTACCCACTATTTGGTTCAACGCGAGCCATCTGAGAATAGGTGTACACATCTCAAAAAGCAAAACAAAATGTAGTTTGCTTGAGAGGAACTACTGAACTACAACCAAGTAGCTCATTATTTTCCATGACATGTCTGCAAAGTAGACTATCAAAGACAGCCTAAGTGCCATGTGCAATTGAAAAGCATGTCAAACAAATAAGCATGTAAATTACATTAAGTGAAGACCTATTACAATATTGGTCTGGGCTGCCTGGGCTGACAAATCAGTGCTGAACACAGCAAAAGGGAGAGTATGAAATGGAGTAGTTACAAGCTAGTTTAAGACTTAAAATGCTTAAACTAAAACAAGGCCTTGAGTTTAAAACATTTTAAGACTTTGAAAGGATCATTTTAAGTCAAATGTGTTTATGTGTGCCGCTCTAACATCCCCCTATTCAAGCACCCCCCTCCTTCACAGTATATGCCATTTCCAAATATTGGTACAGACCAACACCCTGCTTCCCTCCCCCAGAACCTCACCCCATTTGGTACTCACCTAGATCAAAGTCTCTCACACATCTGTTCCGCTTGCTGCTGCCACAACTCGCCAGCTGGACTCTGTCCGTCAGGTCTCTCTGTCTGTAGGTGTGTCAGTACTGCATGTCTGTCCAAAGCCTGAGCTTCTTGGCAAGCTGCAAGCTGCAAACGCAAACAGCGGAAAGAATCAACAAGACTGTAGTTGTGAGAGCGAGCGTGGGTGTGAGCCAGTGCCTTATCATATTCTTGCAAGAGACTCCTTGTCAAGTTGACTGTTTGTGCGCGCATCTGTTATGTAGGAGACTTGAATGCAGAACATTTTCAAGATAGAGTGTGTGTGCTTTAGCATTTGTGTGTGTGTGTCTGTGTGAAAAAGATATTACAAAGACACATGTTTTACGAAGAGGTAGTGAGGTTTACACAGCGAGGCGGAACAAAGTGGAACAGGGGCCCTCCTTACATAATTACACCCGGCATTAAAACACTAATCCAAACACAAACTGTATCTGGACTGTATCCAAACAGCAAACTAAGCTAAGCCACAGGTGTAAACAGAGCCATGAAGGAATGAAATCTCATTTCTACAAATCAAACGAAGGTGCTTATAGCAATAAGATATAAAGCAGGCTTAATGCCTCTTTAATACTTCTTGGGGCGTATTTACACTGACCCATAAATATGGATAAAAATCTTTGTGGATATACAGTAATTCAGATGTGCAAGCTGCATGTTAATGTGATATATAAAGGCCCACAGAGACCCCAATAACAGTACAACCATCTGACAGAACAAACCAACAGTGGCACTCAACTCCAGCATAGAGGTATGCTTTGGCAGTCTCATTAAAATCCTCCAACTCTAATTCACTTTCAAATACCACCTCTACCTAAATAAACATGACCGCCGCTTACTCATACTCCACATGCCTGCCAACCACAGACCAGCAGGATTTCACAGAGCCGACTGGTTGTATGTGGCCAACCATTATTCTAGGAAAGTCTGCAGTTTATAGCAAAATGACAAAAGCTTAAACAGCCGCGGTGATGCTCGTTGGGCTCACAATACAGCCGATTCATAAAGATGCCTGACATTTAAGACATTTAAAGTAGAAATAGCTGGCTGATTTGAGTCAATTTTCTTTTATACCCAGCTCATAAAGTGAAAAGCTGCATTTTAAATCAGCCGTGAATGACTTGAAATTATGGCAATAGCTACAGAAAAGTGAGTCACAGGTTGCCTCAGTCGTTAAATAAATTCTGACACAAACTAAAACACTACTTGGCTCAGATTTACTGAACAAAGAATAGGTTACTTTTTACACTTAGGCTTTTTGTATTCATGACCAGTATTGAAACTGCCTGTGGGCTTTTACCTCAGAGAGGGAGAGGAGATGATCTACATGAATGAATGAAATATCTTAAGATCCACATGTTTACACATACATACCAAGGAAATGTCAATCAGATGCAAAATACAGAGGTTGAGCCCTGAGAGAAATGTCAAAAAGGTAGCCTGTCCCTGTGATGTGTGTGCGTGTGTGCGTGTGTGCGTGTGTGTGGGCCACACACCGTGTGATCAATAGCTCACCTAAAATGAATATGTGATCACTGCCTCGACAAAGCAGGCACTCACTCCAAACCTGACAACAAAATAGACGCATCCTGGATCAATAAGCCCCATTTTAAAAGTCAATTTAATAACAACCTAGCTTTATAAAACTTATCTTCCACTGACAAAGTGGAGACTGACCATCCTGCTTAATATAACACGCCTTCAGTATTGCTTTTGATTTGTGACATTCAGCAGCCAAAGTTAAGACTGTAACTTCAGTAATTTTTCTTTCTAATTTCTTTCTAGCTTTCACCATTACAGAGCGCAGTGTATGGCTTATTTCACCATGGTTACAGAAAGTACTGGATATTTTCACATGACTGCACAGCTTTGGCACACAGCTCCCTACATTAATACCTGCAAACCAACTAGTTTGAGCTTACAGATGAGCTTCTCAAAGATTTGATGACTGACTGCCAATTTAGGGAAACAGCATATGACTGAGGGCCACACAGGGAAAAATGCAGCTGCAAGTTGTCCACTGAAATCACTCATTTTAACTAATCAATCAATCAATCTTTATTTATAAAGCACTTTTCATACAAAAATGTAGTACAAAGTGCTTTACATGGTTAGAAGAAATGCCCCTCCCATCCACCCCCCAGCCACCCACACCCCCACAGACACACCCACCCACCCAGCCACCCACACCCACCCACAAACACAGTCATGTAGGCATAAAAACATGTAGCAAAGCGCAGAGCAACCAGGTGAGAAAACAATACCGCAGGGAGCCGTCTGCACCGGGAGCTGATCACAGCCCGTGGCCACCAGGACACCAACACGGAGTCCACCTCAACATGGGCAGATAGAGGGGCCCACACCACCGCCAAGAAGGCAGAGTGCAGCCCCCCCCCAACCCAGTTGAAGCAACCCACGAGGCAGCGCCAACGCAGCCAGGGCCAATCACAGCCCCCAGTGCAGAGGGCCCCCACTGAGGAAACACTGGAGTTAAAAACTAAGAATAACATAAAACATCGATAAGAGACTAAGAGTGACATTAAAATATCAATAAAAACACTAAGAATGATGTTAAAACCTAAGTAAAAGTGTCAATGACAGTAAGACATCAGAAAGCTAAGAAAAAAAACTAACAGCACTAGCACTGATAACAGAAAACTACCACAACACTACTGAGGTGCCACTTGCTGCCATGCAACCAGTCACTTTCTATAAGCTATCATTCCTAACCTGACAGACACTTGTTAGCAGGGGTGGGCATTTTAAGTGATTTCCATATTCAAGTATTCACATTATATTATTATAGAGTCCTCAAGTACTTGCAAAAAAAAAATAGAAACTCTAGAAGAATAGTTAATAGTAATAGAATGTAAATTGGCCAACAACGCAAAACAAGTGCAATTCTTGAACAATCAGGCTTAAGTTAGTCTATTATTCCATAAATTCAAATAAAAAAAATATGCAAACTTTCTGTTGCTGCTGTTACATAGCTTAGACGCAGCGCTGAAGGACCTCCTCTGGAGATACTCTCCTCAAGTGGACCTACTCGAGTCCTCATGCCCATCCCTACTTGTTACGGGGGCCCAGTTTGACGCAGTAGCAGAGTAGTATGTAAGCTACTGAAAATTAAAGTATAAATGGACCGTGGATGACAAAAATATAATGCAGGCATTTCATGTCTTTTTCAGGGGCTGCACAAAGTGCTTCTGAGGGCTGTCAATGGCCCGCAGGCTGCACTTTGAGCAACTACAGCTTATGGTTACCTCTATTTGTTGCAGTAAGACGTTGATAATATTGAAACAATCGGTGACACAATTGGTCTACTGATTGATAAGTCATGGAACAGAAAATTAAAATCTGATAATCAATAATCATTTAATGTATCACACAAAGATTCCAAACTGACAAAAAAGACATCACCTTCAAAAACAGTGGGAACTTCTGATTGTCGTTTCTCACTATTTCTTTCACATTTTATGGTTTTATAATGAAAACCATCATTAGTTTCAGCCAACAGTCAGAGCTGAGTGTTTTGCCAGAGATCAGATCATTTGGAACAAGTTCTAAATTAAGACTTAAGAGAATAGACTTCTAGAGTTTTAGGAAGGACTTTCTTTTAAGTGGCTATAATATATGTTTATACGTGTATAATAGATCACATGACAACTTGTATGTGAAAGGTTTTGATTTGAGCCTAAAACTTTACTATCTCAGTTCACTCTCATCGCTTTTATAACATCATTTTCAGCTCTAACAAACAACTGCATGCTACCTGTCGCACACCTAATGGCAGGCAGACAAAGTTAGCTACAAGCAGGTGAACATAATGGAATATCTCAAAGCTAAAGAGACTCTTATTTCCCTCAGGGGTTGTTGGAGAAACTATAATAATAATTTGGTATTGTGTTCACAGCTTGTTTGTGCTGCCCTCAAGTGGATAAAAAATCAGTTATTGCAGGGGAGATAATATTCTGAACCATCACTTCTTCTTGCTATAATACTATCATGATAGAACGATCACCACAGTAATGATAGTGTCCAACTTGAACATCTTCTTCCTTCCTCACTGTTGTTTTGGAACTAAAAATGCTCATTGTTTTCTTGGCCTATACTTTCTGTGTTCAATATACACACTGGTCAGAGTTGTGACACTGGGTTGTGACCACAGAAAATGAGGTATGACCTGGAGCTTGTAACAACCCCATCAACAGTTTAGATTAGCAGGATGGGACGCGGCCTTCATGCCCTCCCTGTCTTCTCTGTCCTGTGTCGTTTGCCCTCTTGCGACTCCGGCAGTCTCAAGTGGTCAGTTAAGATGAGGACGGCTGACAATAGACAATCCTACAAGTCATGCCACCAAGGCCTGACATGTTGACCCCAGCCATGTCTGAGCATCATGAGACAGCACAGTCTGCATGGTAGAAAAGAAAGAAAGGAAAAGGAGGATGGAGCTGGCAGACAGGGAGGGAGGTGGCAAACAAAAATACAAGAACAGGGAAAATAGAAAGCAGAAAAATGAAGAGCCGACAAGATGCGGGGGGGAGCGGCAAGATGAAAGATAGGTCGATGTACAACAGGCTGATGAAATAGAGCGAGAAAGACAGAGGGAGAAAGGAGTGGAACAGCAGCTCAAACAATAGTCAAGATACAGAGGAACACAAAAAAAAGGTGACACACTAAAGGGATAGGAGACAAATTAAGCAGACGGTAGAGAGGGACACGGAGAGATGGGGGTAGCCCAAAAAATAAAATAAAAAGTCAGACTCAATTCCTCTCTTAAAAGAGGGGAGGAAGAAAGGTTGGCTCCTCTACGTCTCACCGCTCCGAAAACCTGCACAGATTTAAAAAAGACCAATATGTAGACAGGAACAAAACGCCAGGGGGGTTACATCAAGTGCCTCACTACATTCAAAAAGAGCCACAGAGGAAGAATAACTGACACAATTAAGAGCATAACTGTCATCACAGCCAATCAACCCAGTGCCGCCCACACACGGGCACCGAGCAATAGACACATCATGAGGAGGGATGAAGAGATGGTAATTCCCCCTAGCAATGCAGCACTGACTACTAATAGTGAGCAGCAGATA